GTGCTAATCAGAGCACTGCTTCTCTGGATGCTTTCACAGGTCTGCATGCGGCACACAGTGGCTGGTTCACCTTGTATGAAAGGTCTCTGACAAATTTAAAACAAAAATTATTGCAACTGCTGAACATAGAAAAATCTGGCTATTTTCAGACATCAAGTAGGTTTTACTGCAGAGAACAAACACAACTCCTGAGCTGTTGGAGATCTGAAGGCTTCTCCCTAACTTGCTCAAAGCCCCAAGATGTTCAACTACCTGAGAAACCAGTCTCCGCTCTTGGTGTTTGTTGATTATTTGTCTTGTTGCCAGTTGTATCTCCACACTCTTGGCTGCAGCTAATCTGCACTTTTTCCTATTACTGCTTGAAACTGCAGCTGTGTAAACAGTGCTTGTAATGAATGTCAGGCTGCTTTTAAGAATTGCACTAATCTTTCAGCAATCCTTGACTTTAAAACCATTCTTTTCCTATTTTGCTGCACAATTTATAAATACAGATAAGATGTGGTCTTTACAATATCTCACTGTAATGAATCTTATTTGTAATTTTCCCTTGAGAAATAACTTCTGTGCCACATCTTCCTGAAAGCATGCAAATTAGAATGTATAAATTGAGTGGCACTCCTTTGCCCTCGTGTTAGGAAAAAGATAACTTGAAATAACTGAGCAGGAGCAAAAGCTTGTATTACTACCTACCCATGTGTCTTGCAGATATACTCCCAATATCGTTTCTCTCACCTTTTCAGAGAAAATGCAACAAACTTAGCTGATGTTCATCTCCTGTTGAGGGGCATTTGTTTGAACTACTCTGTAGGGTATATAGTCTCTTACTTTGAGCTGTTATTTATTCTTTAAGAACGATGCATATTTCATGCAGGGTACTAAAGACTTGGATTGAATGTCCAGAAGAGTGATCTGCATTTTAGGGCTGTCATTGGGTATGTAATGTTTATAGATTAATTGTCTTTAATCATCTAGCATGAGAATAAGCTGGTACTTTCACTATATGTTCCAGGCCTCTTCCTGAGGTGATTGAAAGTTCATTTCATTTTTGCTGAACACTTTGGTTAACAGTCTCAGACTAATGAAAGGACTATTGTTAATAGAATGTGACCTATATAAGATTTCTTGTTACCTCTGAAAGATCACCTAATATGCCAATTGGACTGTGGCATTGATTGTCAATTTATGGGCTACAAGGCTTCTGATAAGATGACTCCTTTCTTTTCAGGGTATTAGCAACAGAGGCCTCATAAAAGAGAGTCATTTGGAGATGTTGTTATTGACCATTCTAATAGATTTGCTACTTAAGAGGTGTGATTTATTCAATGCTTAATCTAGCACCAGTCCATGAGGAAATAGCATAAGAAATAGGAGCAGGAGTAAGCCGTTTCGTCCCTCAAGCCAGCCTTGCTGTTTTATAAAATCTAGGCTTATCTGCCCAGGCCTCGTCCTCTTTTATGTTAACTCTTCACCCTCAACTGCTTGATAGTTCAAAAATCCGTCTGCCTCCCCTTTAAATACTTTGTGACCTAGCCTCCACGATTCCTTGGGGTAGAGAATTTCTCACATTTATTGTCCTTTGAAAGAGAGATTCTTCCCAGTCTCAGTTTTAAATGAATGTCTCTTTATTCTGGAGCTATGTCCCTTTAGTTCAAGATTTTCCAGCTAGTGGCAACATCTTAACATCTACCCTGTCAAGCCCCCTCTGAATTCTGTATGTTTCAATAAAATTGGCCCTCATTCTCCTAAACCCTAATGAATAAAGTCTTAACCTGTTTAACCATTGTCGGTATGTCAATTCCTTCATCCCTGAAATGAGCCCAGTGAATCTCTTTTGAACTATCGCCAGTGCTAGTATGCCCTTCTTAATTATGGGGAACAAAACTGTACATAGTCTGGCTGTGGCCTCATTGCCACCCTGTACAATTGTAAGAAAATTTTAACTCCAATTTTAGCTCCAATTTTAACTCCAGTTTTAACTCCAGCTCCATAGTAATAGAGGCTACGATCCCTTTGCTGCCTTAATTTTTCACTGAATTCCATGTGTTCCATGGACTAGACAGCCCCCAGCAGATTTTTGAATTCTTTCTCCATTTAAATAAGCCTGCCTTAAGATTCATCTTAAGTCCATGACCTCTCATTTTTCTACATTAAGCTCTACCTGCCAAGTTTTTGCCCATTGATTCAACCTTTCTATATCCCTTTGCAGATTCCTTATGTCCAATATGCCTTCACACCAATTTTTACAGCAGTATTTTTGGATCTATTATGTTCTGCCCCCATCCTCCAAATCATTAATAGAGTAAATAATTAAACCCCTAGGCCTGATCCTTGTGATTTTTCACCAGTTACATCCTTCCAAATTAAAAAAAAAAATTAATCCTGACTCTGTCATCAGTGTTTTACCCAATCCTTAATCCATGCTAATATACGACCCCAATACAGTGAGCTGCTGCCTCACACAATAACCTTTTAAGTGGCATTTTTTCAAATCCAAACGCACTACATCTAACAAAAACCAAAAGAACTGCGGATGCTGTAAATCGGGAACAAAAACAAAGTTGCTGGAAAAACTCAGCAGGTCTGGCAGCATCTGTGCTGGACAAAACAGTTAACGTTTCGGGTCCGGTGACCCTTCCTCAGAACCGAAACGTTAACTCAGTTTTCTCCTTTACAGATGCTGCCAGACCTGCTGAGCATTTCCAGCAACTTTCTTTTTGTTACACTACATCTAACAGTTTCCTTTTGTCGACTCTATTTGTTATATCCTCAAAGATCTCAGCAAATTTGTTAGACATGATTTCCCCGTCCAAAAGCATGTTAAGTTTGTTTGATTGCATTAAATTTTCAAAAAATATTCTGCTATTTCTTCTTTGGGAAAATGCTAGCATCCGTTATTAATGATTTTGTTGTGCTAACTAGCCTGTAGTGCCCTACTTACTAAAAGCAAAATACTCGAATACTGGAAATCTGGAATATAAACAAAAAGTTCTGGAGAAGCTCACAGTGTCTGACAATTGAAGAATCAAATTGGGCTTGAAACATCAACTCGCCACAAATGCTGCCAAATGTAATGGGTTTCTCCAGCATTTTGTTTTTATAGTTTCCTGCCTTATTTCTACCTCCCTTGTTGAATAGGAATTTCACATTAGCAGCTTTTGAAGGTGCTCAAACCCTTCCAGAATAGTGTGAATTTGGAAATATTTCAACCAGTATCTTTGTAGCCACTTTCTTGGATGCAGGTAATCAGGTCCTGGTAAAGTGTCTGGCTTCAGTCCTGTTAGTTAGTCAAATGCTTTTTCTCCTATAATAGAAGCTGTTGCAAGATATTTCTGCCGATTAGCAACTTGCGTATCTGATATCTTTTGGGATGTTTGCAGTGACCTCCACCCTGAAGAATGATGCAGAATATTGGTTAAATTATCTGCCATTTCTGTTCTCCAATATGATTTCCCCAGTCCCAAGGGTCTCTCACTGATCTCAAGCTGTCTTTGTATATACAAAATAGAACTCTTGCTGTCTGTTTTTTATGCTGCTTTTCTTTTCTATTACTAGCTTTTTAGTCATCTGCTAGTTCCTAAAGTAAAAGGAAAGAATTCACAATCATCTGGTGTATCTCTCGTTTTTGTTGCTTTGTATGCTGTAGCTTTTTGTTTCAATATTTTCTTTGACTACCTTTATTAACTGCATGTAGTTCATACTACTTATCAACTCCGTTTTTTGACTGGAATAAATCTTTGCTGAGCGTTAATGAAGTATGTTTAATTATCTTCCTATATTCATCTATTTTCCAGCCTGCTTTATTATCTTTTTTTTATAAACCTCAATTACCCTTAATTAATTTGAGGACCCTGGTTGGCGAACCAAGTTGGCCTCCCAAACTGAATTTGAAATTCTACCATGTTGTGATTTCTACACCTTTTGGGGCCCATAGTTATGAGTTTAATTTAGTCCTACCTCATTATAGGATCTAAAGTGGCTTGTTCTCAGTGCTGTATATTTCTCTCAGAAACAATCTCTGATGTGCCCTGCAAATTCACATTTCATATTACCTGTACCCATCTAATTTCTCCAATCAATATGCAAATTAAAATCACCCATGACAATTGCTGTGCCCTTTTTAAGTTGACTTCTGTTATTTCTGTTATTTATACCTTTGTCTTCTCATGAGGCAATTCTTTGGGGTCTGTAGGTGACACCCGACTGTGGCTTCTTTCCCTTGTTATTACTTGCTTCCACATCATGATCTATTGCACCTCTAACAGTACTCATCATCACACTGATACCTCTCTTTATTAGTGATGTTGCCCCATCTCCTTTTTGCCTACTTTTCTGGAACATCGAATACCATAAAATATTGAATTCCCATCCTGGTTACCCTGCAACCATGCCTTTGGAATAACTCAAGTCATTTTCATTTATTTCATGTGTGCCTTCAACTTATTTATCTTGTCACAAATGCTGTATGCATTCAGATAAAGAACCTTAAACTCTTACTTTTTAACCATATCAGTTACTCTCAATTTCTGCTGTGTTCTTATTTTACTTTCGGCCGCTTCCTGACATTGTGCCTTTGCACTGCTGTCTGTCGTTGTGTCCTTGTTTCTGTTTGAATTTTTTTAAAGTTTCCCTTCAATGTTCGCCGAACCTCTTCCAAACTAATTATTTTAATGCAATCCTATTTGAGATTTGCCAGGATGGTTCAAATGAAGCCACTGGAACAATACTTTTTTCCTCATTACAGTGTCAGTGGATAAGTACGGGATTTGTTTGCATTGGATACTGAAATTAATCAAAAACTTGTATAATTCTACTGCTTAAAATATATATACATTTTGAGAATTGCTATGAATTCAAATCTCTTTTTTAAAGCAATTGCTTTAAAACAGGGTTGTTTTGAATAGCTTAAAGGTTTGCCATTATTTTGTAGTAGCATACTTAATGTGTCTCTCAGATCATTTGAGGAAGGATATTCCACCTACTGATTATTTTTGGACTTACAGGTATGCACAAGCTGTGAAGATAATGCAGAAGCCAGTGGATTTTGCGTGGAATGTCTTGAATGGCTCTGTAAGACATGTGTTGAAGCCCACCAGAGAGTGAAATTCACAAAGGATCATACAATAAGGAGGAAAGAAGATGTTTCACCAGGTTGGAAATTAATTTTCCAAATGCAGTTCTAATATTGTAGGTTTGACCCAACTTTTAAAAACAGAAATGTGGTTTGCTGGAAGGAATCTGGATAGCACTGTGATCATTATTATGGTTTAATGTGGTGTTATACACTTTGTGCCTACATTTAGGGAGTAAAAGCATTAGTAGGAACATGTTAAAGATTGGAATGCAAAAAGCATCGAGTAACACACCATTTGATCATAACTGACCATTAGCGGGTTATATATGTGGAGTTTGCACATTCTCCCTCTATCTGCATGTGTTTCCTCCCACAGTCCAAAGATGTGCAGGTTAGGTGGATTGGTATGTTATATTGCCCATAGTGTCCAGGGACGTGCAGGCTATGTGGGTTAGCCATGAGAAATGCAGCGTTACTGGAATAGGGGGGTGGGTCTGGGTGGGTTGGTTTGATTTCGATGGGGGCAATGGCCTGCTTTCTGATCGATAATTGTAATCTTTTACAAATTGAACTTTGTTGAGAACATTAACTTATAAAAAAGAGATTCTAGCCCTGTTTTTGCGATGCATGATTTCTTGGGGTCCTTGGTCAAGCTTTTGGCAGCTCTTCAATCTCTTTCAGCACCTTGTGAATATGGGCTCTTGGCTGAACTATGCATTTTAATACTTTCTTGCCTAAGTGACCAACAGCTCTGGCAAATGTGTCTCTGCCTGATTCCAAGCAGTTATGGACATAACCTACCAATATCTATGAGAACAGATGAACCTAAAACTAAACAAGAACAACCTGTCTAATCTCTCTATTAGAGATTTCAATTCATGAAATTAAGTCTTCAAAACCGTCCTTTGGTCTGTAAATAAACACTTTAACACCTTTGTTTGCCAGTTGGTTTTTAACCTACCTATGATCTGGAGAAATTAGATAAATAATTAATAGCTCTAATGGGTCCAGGGCCAATTGCAAGCCTCTGGGAATTCAGTGGCTCAATTTCCAAACCAAGAGACTATGTATTGTTTGTTGTTTTCACACCTCTAGTAAACTTGGTCCATCCTTTTTAAAATAGTTATATTACTGAAACACATGAATCTTGAAATTAGACAGCTTTGCAACAAAAAATGCATCACCTAGTTGTAGGCCCTTGTTGCAAATATTTTATCAAGATGGTTGGTCAAATCAAGACCAAGAGGTAAAAATATGATGAAAATTTGGCGACTTCAGGATGTCTTTTGAATTGTGCTTTGGACATGGCTTGTACTGAGAATAAACATTTAGAAACTGACAATTTCTTTTCAAACTTATTTGGATATAAACGTTGTTAAGGCTTTTTAGTTTAGGTTTTCAAAGTTGTTTGGTTAAATGCTGCAGATGTGCCAGGTACAACTTGCTGTCAAGTCTGTCTTCTCTGGATATTTATGGAAATACTTAATTTGCTAATTGTACAGAAATAGGGGGATGCTAACTGAAGAGGATCATAAATGACTCAAGTGGATGATCTCATAGATGAGATGAGGTAGATCTATTTATATGAAATGCACAGAAATGAGGCAGTAATTTGAGTAAAAATAAAAAATAACAATGATAAACATTGTAGATATCGAGAGACTTGAGATTTGGGCGCAGATTATCCCTGCGACACCTAAAGAGGCTAATTCAGAAAACATGTATTATCTGATCATTAATTTGCATTTTCATATCTGAATCCGAAAAGCTAATTCTGTATGCATTTGAGTTTAAAACCAATTGGTTGTATTTTTTTTTATTTTAATGTGAAAGCTGATCTAGAGCTTCCTTAAAAGTTTCTGGAACAAATATTTGGGAAAAAAATTACATGATGTCAGTCTCGTGCAACTGTTACACAAATTAAACAAGTTAAATCACAGAGCAACATTAATGTTGTTGTGGTCCTGACTGACACTGCCAAATTTGTTAAATCTGGTTTCAGGCCAGTAACACACTTTTTTTGTTTAATGTAGGCAAAGTTTGAGATTCCAAGTCCTTGCTAAGAGAATAAAACTAAGATTCCACAGTTTTGAGCAAATTAAGTTTCACTGTACAATGTTAGAAAAGTAAAACAATCTATGCTGTAAGTGAGAGACTGACATGAAATGAATCTAAATTAACGTAAACAAAGTCGAATTCCACCCCACTTTAAATATCCAATACAGTCACAATAGATAATACCCAGATATTGAGAGTCATCAAATCCCATTAAAGCTCCTTTTTCCCTGGCAAAGAATTCTAATTTATCGCCTTTTGAAAATCTAGCTTGGAACTTCTTCAATAGCCAATCTGTCTTTGCCTCAACAAATGCTTAGCCTTGGTAGAACAATCTCTCCTCCCAAGACACTGTTCGTCAGGATGTCTGAGAGTGCTCAGTGTTCTGAGGAAGGGTCACTGGACCCAGAATGTTAACTCTGATTTTCTTTTCTTCACAGATGCTGCTAGACCTGAGCTTTTCCAGCAACTGTTTTTGTTCCTGATTTACAGCATCCGCAGTTCTTTCGGTTTTTATTTGTGTAGTGCTCACAGGTTGTCTAATTTATCAGCACGATTTTAGCTTCAATTAAGTAGCAAGCCTCACAGAGATGTCACTGAATTTCTCTCAGCGCCAGCCTTTCCCAACTGCATTTAAGTATTGCTTGTGGGCTTTCTTCACCCCACAGTCAACTGCACTGAATGGGTTTTACAATATTAAAGTTCAGTGAATGTTTTTAACTAATTAGCCAATTAATTTCCAAAACAGTCTCGCTAGACTGTCATTACTGCAAGCAATATAGTCATAACATTGCCAGCTCAGCAAGTCTACTCATCTGCTCGATCTTCCCATTTCATCACTTAACTTCAAAACAGCTCGGCCTTTAACATTTCAAATATAATAGACCTAATTTGCTATAGTGGCTTTTATTCTGTTTTCTACTGTTCATAGATTTTGGTTTTAAGAATTAAGGTTTGTGCCAAAATACATGAACTTTGAACTAAATATTTGCAGCAATGTAATGAATAACCAATGTGGTTCAAACAAAATTTATCACCAAACCATGCGATATTGGTACATGTGACTGAAAACTTGATCAAAGGGGTTCAAGGATCCTCTTTAAATAGGAAAGGAGGTAATTGTGCGGCCTTGCTACAATTTCCTCGCCCACCGCAGCCACCTGTGACCCTCAATTGCCTAATAAATGGAATTTTGAGTTTGGAAGTAGAAACCTAGCCAATAAATGAAAGTCCCAAACAAAGCTCTTAACTTCACAACCCACCACTGAGGTGCAATATTTTGCAGAGTTAATGCTACCATTGTTATGTCAGGGTATATCTCTACAAAATTTTAGCAATTAATTTTTGCTTTCATCTATAAAAGTCTAAATTACACTGATATAAGGTAAACTGTACTGGCTTCCTGTCTTCCATTCTACTTGTCTCAAGGTGAATTTATGCCATCTCTATGTTTTCTGTTAGTTAACCTGTAAACAATCCCTACTATACTAGCTGCTGATTATAATGAATTCGCAGGGAGCTGTCCTCTTCATTTACCAGAGTGTGCTTAACTTCTTGAATTGTTGTATCCCAGTTACCGTTTGTCGTCCCTAGTTTCAATTTACAATGGCTGCAATTTATGTACTGAAACAAATCCTTCGGGCTATTGGTATTTGTTGTCTTGTTTTTGAGTTTATCTGCTAAAGTTGACCATTCACTGGCATTTGAAAATGTTAATTTTTGTAAAAATGAACATAATGTGGCATGATGAAAAATGCTAAAAAAGGCATAATCTTTGTTAGTGGCTCAAATACTTCCTGTAAAAATAGTTCATGTCTGTCCTGAAGAGGTTTGCATTATTTTCTAAGTTGAAGGAAGTAACCTGCTGTTCAAGATTTGATTTTCATTCTATTCCTTACATTTATTATTTAAATCCCATTCCTATTCAGTTTCGTCTTTTCTATGATGGGGGTCTACTGTTATTGCTGTTTAGTTATGTTTGTGTTACCCAGCAATCATACCAATCAAAACTCTCATTTAATACAGTTAACATTAATGTGTGTTCCTTATGTGTGTTTCTCACCTGCCAGAAAGAAAAATGATAAGCACTCTTCATGTTAGCAATTAATAACATTATTTATCTTTTGAAAGAATGGTGTTCCTGCCTTCACACTGATGTTTATTTATCAATTGCCTTCGAAAATAGACTTGGAATTTATTAATTTTGTTCCCTCAGAAGACATACATCACCTAGATTAGATGTAATCCAAAGGATTGCTGAGGCATTAAAATGGAGGAAACAGCACACTTCAAAATGTGTTTTGTCTTCAGGGAAGACACTGCTCAAACCTTTTTTAAAATCAAAGCATACTTACCTAAGCACAACTTCACGTTAAAAACAGAATTATGAATTGAAATACTGTAGCCTATCTTATGTCACTAAAATTGTACTCCTTATTGGTCTTTGATTTCAAATCTTTTAATAAGCGGGAGGCTGAAAATGAGCCAGGAAGTTCCAAAATGGCATCTTCCATTGTGTAAAATGTGAGATAACACATTGAGATATATTGATTGTTGCTGAAGGCTTTGACTTGTCCCGGCTTTATGTTCCATTGTTCAAGAAAGTCAAGATACTTGCCCTGGTTGGAATGAAGGGAAAGGGTGCAAAGCAAAAGCATGAGACAATCATCTATTGGATAACCAGCACTGGTCTATTTCTCCTCCATTTCCAACACCTCCCTATAATCTCACAGCACCTTCCCATACAATCGCAGAAGGTGTTACACCTATCTATTTACCTTCTCCCTCCGTGCCATCGAAGACCCCAGACATACTTTCCAGGTGAAGTTGCAATTTGCCTGTACTTCATACAATCTAGTCTACTGTATTCACTGTTCATAGCATGGTCTCCTTTACATTGTGGAGAGGAAATGCAGACTGGGTGACTGCTTTGTAGAACACCAATGTTTTGTCTGTAACAGTGACCCAGAGCTTCCAGCCGCCTGTCACGTCAACACACCACCATGTTCCCACACCAACTCTTCTGTTGCAGTATTCCAGAGACCCTCAATGCAAACTCAAAGAATAGCATCTCATTTTCTGCTTGGGGCCCCTGTAGAATCTCATTCAACGAGTTCAATAACTTAAGAACCTGATTCCATCTTTACGTGCTTTTCACCTGCTGTCACACCCAGTCCTGTTATGACATGGGTTGCTTTTAGCACGCTCACCTATTCTCACCTGCTCCTAGGCCTATTTTCACACTGTGTTGCATTCAGCGCAGCTCATCCATTTTCTCACTTACTCAACTTCTGTCCTGGTCTACTATCCATCATGTCCTTGTTTACTTACACCTTCCATATTTCTCACCCCTGTCCCTGTCCCTGTCCCCGTCCCTGTCCCCGTCCCCTCCCCCTCAGTCTTAGGCATATATACTAGTTTTTTGAGCTACTGTCAGTTATGATGAGTCACCAAACTCAAAACATTAACTGTTTTTTTCCCACAGATACTGCTAGACCTGCTGAGTTTTGCCTGCAATTTCTATTTTTATTTCAGCATGGTGCAGATAACTCTAGCTGGTGTTGGACATGAATATGTGATGACTGTTGTGTAATAAAGTCTGAACTGTTCTCTTAGTTACTGATCATGGAATTGAAATTGACTTTTTCTTTTACATATTGATGGCTTTTTTTGGTCAAGTAGCACAGATAAAAGATGCACGCGACTGGAAATACACTGAATAAATTTGACATGGGAAGCTACTAAGGGTTTTTGCACCATGTCGCTACTTATAAGAATTTGCATTCACTTTGAAAGCTGTGTATCATTTGTAAATTTAATCTCTCTTAAATTTTAGAGGCTGTAGGAGCACCCAGTCAACGACCTGTGTTTTGTCCTATACATAAGCAAGAACAGTTGAAACTGTTTTGTGAAACATGTGATAAACTGACATGTCGGGACTGCCAGTTATTGGAACACAAAGAACACAGGTAGGTGCAACTTGCTTAAAAAAAGACTTGCATGAAGAGTTTCTAATGGGGTACATTTGACAAAATGTGGAAGTTTTTAGAAAAGTTTAATGGTATTTTCTAATCATTATTTGCAAGAGTTACATAGGATAGTATTATGTAGAATGTACAGCACAGAAATAGATCATTAAGTCTAATCAGTCCATGCCAATATTTCTGCTCCACTTGGGTCCACCTCATTATTTCTTAGCTAGCCTAGCTTGCTAAATCTTTGTGCACTTCTGATATCCATTTAACTATGGGGTAAGTGAGGGAGGATATTTTTTCTAAAGCAAGTAGGGAAAACCTAGAAATTGTGGGGTAGTGGAAGCAGATATAGGTGATTTCAAAAAGAAATTGTGTTGGCACTTTGGGAAATATACTTGCGTTTGACTGGGATAGATCATTAGAATGGAGAGCTGGCATGGTCTCAATGTGCTGAATGGCTCCCATCTGATCTGTTGTGACTATTTGTGTTTCTAACTGTTTAGATATAGAGAAGCAGGTGGTTATTGATATACTGTCAAGAACGTTGCAATTAAACTTGTTTTTACCACTGGTCTTGAGCCTTTCAACAAGACTGGAATTTAGAGTTCTCCACTACCTCTGGCGTGCATTTAGATCATGGAACTGAGACTGAAGGGCGGAAAAGTGTACTTGATATTTCAGAGATCATTCATTCACATTGGACACTTCTATTCTGTTGGGTTGGATCAAAAACTTCGGTCCACTTTGTCAGCTGAGAACTCTTTTCTCTTCCATGTGCTTTTTTTTTTGAAAAGTTAATTACTTTTTCCCCATGCACTCAAAGCAACCTAGCTCCTTAATGTCACAGCATTTGGTATGAGGTGATAGGACAACAAGTTCAAAAGTCTTTTTATAAAATTCATTCATGGGATGTGGGCGTTGCTGGCTGGCTTTTATTTCCCTAGTTGCCCTAGAGGTGGTGGTGGTGGGCTGCTGCCTTAAACGTCTGCCATTTATGTCATAGGTTGATAGAAATGTACAGCGCGGAAACAGACCCTTCAGTCCAACTCGTCCATGCCAGCCAGATATCCTAAATTAATCTAGTTCCATTTGCCACCATTTGGCCCATATCCCTATAAACCCTTATTCATACACTCACCCAGATACCTTTTAAATGTTGTAATTGTACCAGCCTCCACCACTACTTCTGGCAGCTCATTCCATACATGTGCCACCTTCTGCGTGAAAAAGTTGCCCCTTAGGTCCCTTGTAAATCTTTCCCCTCTCGCCTTAAACCTATACCCTCTAGTTTTGGACTCCCTTACCCTGGTGAAAAAACCTTATCCATTTACCCTATCGTGATTTTATAGACCTCGAAAAGATCACCCCTCAGCTTCTGATGCTCCAGGGGAAATAGCCCCAGCCTATTCTGCCTCCCCCTACAGCTCAAACCATCCAATCCTGGCAGCATCATAATGTCCTTGCGGAGGGAATTCCTGGATTTTCCAGCAACATTGAAAGAACTGCAATATATCTCCTTGTTGGGATGGTGAATGGCTTGGTGGGGAACATGCTGGTGGTGTTCCAATGTGTCCTTAGATGGAAATGATCGTGAGTTTGGAAGGTGTTATCTAAGGGACTTTGGTAAATTCCTGCAGTGTATCTGGTAGATTGTACACACTGCTGTGACTGAGCATCGGTAATGGATGATTGCGGACATTGTATCAATCAAGCAGGCTGCTTTGACCTGGATGATGTCAAGCTTTGTGAATGTTGTTGGAGCTGTACCTATCCAGGCAGATGGGCAGTATTCCATCAGTCTTGACTTGTGCCTTGTAGATGATGGACAGAATTTGTGGGAGTCGGGAAATGAGTTACTTGCCACAGTATTCCTAGCCTTTGAACTACTGTTGCAGCCACTGCATTTATGTGGCCAGTCCAGTTGAGTTTCTGGTCAGTGGTAACCCGTGAATGTTGATAGTGGGGGATTCAGTGATGGTAACATCATTGAATGTTAAGGAGAGGTGGTTAATTGTCTCTTTATTAGAGATTGCCATTGCTTGGGATTTGTGTGGTATGAATGTTACTTGCCAGCCCAAGCCAATCTTGTTACATTTGAACACGGACTGCTTCAGCATCTGAGGAGTCACAAATGGAGCTGAATATTGTGCATTCATCCGTGAGCATACTCACTTCTGACCTTACGATGGAGCGAAGATCGTTGATGAATCAGCAGAAGACAGTTTGACCTAAGATACAACCCTGAGGAACTCCTGCAGAGATGTCCTGGAGCTGTGATAACTGACCTTCAACAGCTGCAACTATCTTCCTATTTGCCAGGTGTGACTCTAACAGTGGAGAGTTTTCCTCCTGATTCCCATTGAATCCAATTTTGCTAGGGCTTCTTGATGCCGTACTTGGTTCAATGAGGCTTTGTCAAAAGTTGTCATTCACACCTCTTCTGTGGTATTCAACTCTTTTGTTCATGTCTGAACCAAGGCTGCAGTGAGGTTAGGAGCTGAGTGGCCCTGGTGGAACCCAAACTGGGCATCGCTGAACAGATGCTACTTGTTCGCACTGTTGGTTTAGAGTGGACTGATGGGGCGGTAATTGGCTGGCTTAGATTTGTCCTGCTTTTTGTGTATAGGACATATCTGGTCAATTTTTTACATTGTAGGGTAGATGCCACTGTTGCTATACTGGAGCAGCTTGGCTAGGGGAGCAGCAAGGTCTGGAGCAAGTCTTCAGTGCTATTGCCAGAATGTCATCAGGACATTTTCTTTGCAGTCTCCAGTGCCTCCAAACAGTTTCTTGATATCGGGTGTATGAATCACATTGGCTAAAGGCTGGTATCTGTGATGGATCATCCACTTAGCACTTCTGGCTGGAGATTGGTAGAAAATCTGAATTAAGGTTTATGTTGCACCTTTGCATCAGCAGGATCAGTAACTTTGCAGGGTCTGAAAGGCGAGACAACTTGAGTGAGGTACAGAATTTGGAGGCAGTGTGGGAATTTGGTACGACAAGGAAGAGGTTTTTTTTATTTTTTACTTGCTTTTTTGTCACAGTTTGTAAGGATTTTTAAAAGGAAATATTGGAGCCCAACACACGAGTGACATCACAGGCCAACTGTAAGTTCATTGGTTGGTGATAGCTACTAATCGTTGACTATCGATTTTAGATTACTTTCAGATTGAAGGTAAATAAGGGAAAAATATTTATAGGCTACAGACTAAACGACCAGCGCAAACTTTTACAAATCAAATTAGGAACTAAATAAGTAAACTAAGATGCCGGGCGTGTGATGTGTTGTAACTGCATGACGTGGGAGCTGGTGGACTCTGTTGTGGTTCATAGTGCCCACATCTGTAGCAGTGTTGGTTGCTTGAGGGCCTCTGGTTCAGGGTTCATAGAATCATAGAATCCCTACAGTGTGGAAACAGGCCCCTCGGCCCAACAAGTCCACACCGACCCTTGGAGCATCCCACCCAGCCCCATCCTCCTATAACCCACACACCCCTGAACACGGGCAATTTAGCATGGCCAATCCACCTAGCCTGCACATCTTTGGACTGTGGGAGGAAACCCACGCAGACACGGGGAGAATGTGCAAACTCTGCACAGACAATTGCCCGAGGCTGGAATCGAACCCAGGTCCCTGGTGCTGTGAGGCTGCAGTGCTAACGACTGAGCCACTGTGCCGCCCCTAGGGTTGATGAACTGGATTCTGAACTTCAAAGACTGACGCATCGGGGAGTTACCTGAGCGTTGTTTCAGAAGGCAGTTATGCCCCTTATATTAATCACCTCATACTTGATCAGTAGCCAGGGACTGGAGGTGTGCCTACAAGTGAGGTGGGTTGAGGGATCAAGGAATCTCGCCCCTTGAGCATGTCCAACAGGTTTGAGACTCTTGTTGGCTGAGAGCGGTGACTGTAAGGAGGATGGGCAAACTGACCATAGCACATTACTCCGGGGAACAATGGAGGGGGAATGATGGAGTGGTAGAGGAGAGGAAGGAAGGGAAGGTGGGGAGAGAGAGAAAAGAGAAATCTGGGATAGTATAGTTGGGGGGAATAGTCCCGAAGGACATATTGCCTGCCTGGTGGCCAGGTTTAGGATATCTTATCTAGGCTGTAGAGGAACTCTGAATGGGAGGGGAAAGATCTAGTTGTCGTGGTCCATGTAGGTTCCACTGAGGGAATATGATCAGTTCATGGCTAAATTCAAAATCAGAATCAAAGTGTGGTGAGGAGGTTTTAGTTGCATGGAACACTATGGAAAATGTTAAAGGGGAGGGTGTAGGACGAGGGCTCAATGGAGGTTATTAAGCTTTCCAGAACAGGTAACAAGACTGATTATACGGAAAGGGTCAGGAATCTAACTTCAGGCACAGAAGATGAGGGGACACCTATGAGAAAGGGGGCAGTTATGAAAGATTGAGCGTTGTGCTTAAATGCGTGGAGTTTGTGAAACAAAGTAAATGAACGTGTAATGCAGATTGAAACAGACTGGTACAATGTTGTGTGTATCACAGAGACATGGCTGCAAGGCGATCAGGGCTGGGAACTAAATATCCAAGGATCCCACATCTTACCAAAAGAACAGGTAGGTGGGCAGGTTTGCCCAATTCATAAGAAATGAAATTAAATCAGTAGCAAAAAGTGATATAGAGTTGGAAAGTGTAGAATGATTGGGTACAGTTGAGCTGCAAAGGAAAGAAAGACCCTGATGGGAGTTGTGTACCGGCCTCCTAGTAGTCAGGATGTGGGGAAGAAAATCAATCGGGAGATAGAAAAGACATTTAAGAAAAGTACTACTGCAATAATCATGGGAGGCTTGTATATGTAGGTGCACTGGGAAAATCAGATTGGTCGTGGGTCTCAAGAAAATGAATTGGTGGAATGACTATGAGAATTTTTTTGGAGCAGCTTGTGGTAGAGCCCCCAAGGCAATTCTGAATTTGACGTGTAATGAGGCAGACTTGATTCGGGAGCTTAAGGTGGAAGAACC